TCAGAGTGATAGAGGTGCTGTAGAGATCTGTGAGATCCCCAAAAGCGCATCAGATGGGTTTCTACATCCATTTTCTGCTTAAGATTGCCTTTGCCACAGAGGTATCAACCTCAGCTCCCTTCCCCAGTATCATCCCACACCACCGTGTGTCCTGAGTTTCATTAACACTGGATGCCTGGATGAAAGATCAGCGCCCAGGATAAATGCAGTGTCTCTCCAATTGTGCCGGCAGGGAGAGGGTCCCCAGAGGGGCTGTGGCTACAGAGGCTGCTCACCAGCCCCTCCAGCTCAGCCTCTCTGCTGGGTCAGCCTGCAGCACTGGAGCGGCACACCAGAGCCTTCTGGGGCTGGCCGGGCTGCTGTGGACAGCCGGGGCAGTGCTGCTGAGCTCGGCATTTCTGCTGCGCCCGGAAATTCCCGGAGGAGCAGACGAGTGTTCGGCAGCGTGTTGATTCCTTTGATCGCAGAGCACAAAGCAAAACAGGCCAGTTGTTGATTTGTGTTCACTGCAGCTCTGGGCTCTCCCCAGTCCCCTTCAGATCCATGTTGCGGCTATCACGCTTTTCTTGTTCAAACAGTAAAACTTAATGATGCCCTTTCATCCCCGCCTTGCAGGGGGCCGGCTGCAGGCTGCCCTGCGCAGGGAGCAGCGGCTCTGTGCCGTGGTGGGCTCCTGCTGTCCCCTGCCGGGCATCCCCAGCACGGCTTGCTTTGCTGCTGCCCCGCCTCTGGACTCTGCACAGGGCATCGCTTCCTGCTGCAGCAAAGGGAGCGGCGGCACATGTAAGGTTTTCTCTTTAGCTCTGCTGGTTCTGTAGCTTCAGGCATTCCTCTGCCATGTTTTTCCCTGGCTCAGGAGCAGAGGGAGGTCTGCCAAGCTCGCCTCAGGATGCTGTCATTACATTCAGACTGGTTTGGAAAGCAGTGGGGAAAGCTCTGGGGATACAAGGCAGAGTGAAACTCTTGCTGACTGCAAGGAGATATTTGTAGCCAGTGAACCCACAGATGCAGCTCATTGGTGCTTCCAATCGACTGGGTCCGTCTGCCATCAGCCTGCTGTTGTGACAGTCCCTTTCCTCTCCACGGCAGGTGACCTGGTGGAAGGAGAGCGCAGGGAGGCAGCACCTGGCACCACTGCAAAGCCTCTGGGCAGCTGCTTGCTGGCTCCCTGTCCTCTGGTGGGCCAGGGAAAGCATTGGTGTCAGTCTTAGCTGGACACGCTGGTGGGAGCACCTCAGCTGCTGCTGCTCAGAGAGGGATGAAGGCTGCTGAGCAAGGCTACATGGCATGGTGGTTATAGCTGAGGGCTGAGGAGAGAAGAGGAAGTGAAATATCAGAAACCAATTTCCAGAACATTGTCCAAGGCAGTTTGGAAACTGTTTTTGTACTTTGGGCAAGCTAAGTTAAGCATGTTCCTGTAGGTTTCTTCCAGAGCATGGTTTGTGGTACTCTATGCATCACCCTTGTAGCATCACCATTTTGCAGAGACAAGCATGAGGTGAGTGTGCTGCACCCCTACATCCTTACTGGGGCAGCCAATCCAGATGCTGCCTTGGTCACAGAAGAATGGCCACGGTGCTCATGCCACAGCAAAATCAACCTGAGCAAAGTGAGTAGGGAGAGATGAACACAGAGACTAACACAACCATGAGCCATAACCCTGAGATAAAATCCTCTCAAATGAGCCCATACATCATGGGAAGCAGACTGTAAATGTGAATCCTGGCTGGCAGCCAAAGTGCAAATTGTAAGCCCCTGTGCAAGAGAAGTGGTTTAATGTGCTGTGGGGACCACTGCTGTTACGTGTCCCAGAACAGCCTGTGCTGGTGCATAGGTTTTGCAATGTTGGTTACAGGCTATTAAACCCTCCAAGCTCAGAAGTCGTCAGTCCTCTTCTGACTGCATAAACTCATTCCTAAAAACCTCACTAAAACACACCTTCATTAAGGGTATCATCTCCCCACTTGAACAGAGGCAGAAGGAGAAGGGACCCTTCTACCAAGAAAAACCAAGTTCATGTGAGGTTGCTTTGTAGGAGCACTAGCCAAAAAAATCGTAAATGGAGAGAAGGAGCTGCTAAATGGGTGTTGATACAAATGAAGTCTGAGGATACCAGCTCCCTCCATGCTACCCTGCTGGGCAGTGGAGTGAGAGAAACACCTAGTGCACCCAGGAAGAGTGAGTGAAGGCCTTATGCTGCCCCAGCTAAGGGTCTCCCCACATGGGCGACAAGGACCCTCAGGAAGGCTAATATAGGCCCACTCAGAGGATGGAGGCTGGGCAGTAGCCAAAGGAACATGGGGAGGAGATGGAAGTTTTAAATTGTTAATGTATTAATCTGCCTTTTCCAAATAGATTCTTTTCTCCATGACCACCACAACTGGCACCCATACATTTACATTTATTTAAAACCCTGGGGCATGTTGCTTTCCAGAAAGGAAACGTTGCTGTCAAGGGCACTTAGACAAAGTCATGTACTTTCTGGGTGGGAGCTCAGTGAAGTTTAATAAGAATGCCGGAGTAAGAACCCAGCATGCTGCACTGCCCACGTTGGCTAAGAGGACTCCCACCTTGGGAGGAGGCAGCAGCTTGCTGCCTTGAGCAGTGCTGGGTGCTGCTGAAGGATGAGAGGTCATAGCTCAGGGCTGCACTGTGTTCTGCATCTCTTCATGCCTAAGCTCACAGCTCTAACTGATTCTGAAAGACTCTTATGTCTTCCTTTCCTCTATTTGCTTTTAAAGTTCTTTACTACTTTTCACATTTGTAAAGAGATGCCTTCAATTCAATACATCAGTGTTCAAAAAAGAACATGACAGCAAGGAAAAAAGCATCCAGACTGTTTGCACAACCTGAAAGAACCTGCACAACCTGTACAGCCTGGGAATCCCTGAGATTTGCTCAATTGGTTAGAGCATGGTGCTAAGATTGTGGGCTCAATCCACATTTGGGCCATTTACTTAAGAGCTGGACTCAGTGACCCTTGTGGATCCCTTCCAACTCAGAATATTCTGAGAATCTGTATTCTGTAAATGCCAGGGCCTTTAAGCCGTTCTGGTGATTACTGGAGGCAGAAGGTGCTCCTGGAGCCTGCAGCAAAGCACCATTAGAGGGCATGGGGATCACCCAGGCAATGTCCAGCCTCAGCAGGCAGGGCAGCAGGTATCCCTGCTGGGTTTTTCCTCAGCCTTCATGTGACCTCCCCTGTTGGCTGCCTCTGATTTCCACTCTCTTGAAAAGGAAGGCTCACCACTGAGTCACTAGGTGTGGAAAAACAGGTAGTTCCATCAAACACCCGAGGTGGTACAGGAGGACAAGAGGAAATGAGAACACCCAAAGTATGACACTGATAAAAAGCAAAGACATGAGCTGAGTTTGCACCTTTCAGCATTGCTGCTCAGGATGCTCTGTAAACTCTTCTCCTGTGGGCCTTTCCATTTTTCACATGGAAAATGTGCACTCTGCCCAAACCTTGTCATGATTGCCTGCTGCAAAATCTCTGCCACTCACAACCTTGTGAACATTCAAAAGACCAGTATCAGCAGTTATTTGCAGAAATCATGAACCCATTTAATAAGCTCAGGCATTTGGCTGCCGTGGGAAAATACCAGTTTAAAATGCAGACCAAGAACCCATGGAAGAGAAGCTGTCACTTTGGCACAAGTCATCTCTACTCCCAGGATAAGTCAGTACAACACATCCTGGCCAGGCTCAGCTTTGTGGTGACAGGCAGGTGAGAAGGAATCACAGGGGGACAGGTTCAGCTGGTTGCTCCCTCCCTGCAGGGCTGTGTGTGAGTTGAGCATGATTCACCTAGTCCCTTGCCCTTCCCAGTGCTGCAAGGAGCAGGGGCTGCAGGGACTGTCCAGCACAAGGTGAGCTCACTGACCTGTGAACCCACTGCCCTGCAGGCACCACAGGTCCGTGCTGCCCACTGGGTCAGCTGTGCTCACACGACCTCTTGGTCCTGCTGGGACTGCCATGCTGCTGCCCACACCACCTCTTCCCTGAGTGGCAGCAGGTGGGGATCAATGGTACCCTGTTCAAGCACAAAGGAGCGTGGGGCTGGGGTCCAGAACAGCCACTGTTTTCTTGTCTTGTCATTTAGACATACATAGGGTTGCCCCTCTCCTGAGCCAGTCTGTCCTGCAGTGACAAGCCAAGGACTCCCAGGCTGTCTACCAAATGCAAGGCAAAGAGGTCAGAGTACCTGTACAGCTCATTCCATACATTATGACACTTGTGAGACCCTAGTGCTGTTCAAATGGCTCTGGTGGCTACAAAACAAAAACGCATTTCACTGGTGTTCCAAAAGGAAGAAAATCAGATCTCCCTTGCTGTGCTGTCCCAAGTCTGTGGGACCCCTCTGAATATGTTTGATCTTGTTTCCTGTGGTTGCACATCAGCAAGACACTTCCCAAGCCGTACTAGTTGGAACCTGGATGGTGAGCAGCAGCTCAGCTGCAGGCGGCAGTGGGCCTGGGGTGCCCCTCGTGACTTGCCAGAAACGTGCTGCTCTCTTGCCAGGAGCAAACATCGTCATCCTCACAAATGGTTAACCTGCCGGGAGCTGCACAGCACTAATGACTTCACATTCATTTAATCAGCTTGGGCTTCCAGAGCGTCCACCTCAGGAGCAGGGAAGGCCGTGCACCCCTGCTCCCAAAGCCGCACCCCTGCCTCAGCAATCATTAATCACCCCGGCCGAGAAGGAGCAAGCGGCAGGCAGGAGAAGGCCGGCTCTCCTCAGCCCCCACGGCAGCGGCAGCAGGCAGCGCTGACCGGTTCCCTGGGGTGGCAGCTCATTCTCCGACCACCCTCCCCTGGGAGGCCCTGTGGAGGTGGCCAGTCCTGCACGCACTGCCCTTTCCTTTGGGAAGGTCACTCAGTCCAGGGAACGAGAGGTTCTGCCTGCTCTGGCAGCTGCTGGGCTACGCCTGAGGTGGGGGCTCTGAAACCCCAGGAGTTCCTGCCTAGCTGTACCGCAGCCTTCATCCTTCACCATGCAGCTCAAGGCATTTTGGAGTGCCCTGGAGTACACCTGCCGATTGCTGGGCATCTCCACCGCAGCAGGTAAGAGCAGATTCTCTCTGTCTTTGCACTGAAAAGGCACTGAGTGGGTGCCGGGACCTCCAGGCTGCCTCCCTGCCTTTGGCCAGCTGCAGCCACGGCCCCGTCCTATGAGAGGGGACAAGACAACTTGCTCACTTTTGCTTTGGGACTCAGGGTGGGAGAGTGGTGGTTGCCTGGCTGGGTTCTTTCCAAATGCTGTGGGAGGCACAGTGAGACATCAGAAAGGGCGGCCAATGTTCAGAGGGCAAGCTAAAGCATGCCAAAAGGAAAAAAAAAAAAAAAAACCAAAACAAAACTAAACTGTATTCTTCTAAAACAGACATAGACATAGGCAAGATGTGAATGAGACTGAAAAGCAAAATACTCATGGCTGTGCAAAACTGCCGGGTTACACTGTGGGATGTGAAGATGAAGGAGGAGCTCCTTGTAGTGTGCACGGTGAGATGTCCTGTGCCAGGCAGGATGGAGATGTTCTGTCCCAGCCATCATGGCACAGCTACTATAAAAGCACGGCTCTGCCTCTCTAGCAGCCTGTTGGGGAGCAGCTCAGTGCAGTTCAGGTTGTAGCTGCAGTACAAACACCATAAATTCAGCCACCTGATACCTGGGGATTTGCATCCTCCCACCTGCTGCCGGGGGCTGCTTTGGACCAAGGTGTTCTGGATTTGGTGACACACCCAAGTGCTTGGTTTCAGATGAAATCCAGGTGTTTTGAGCCAGGTGTCAGACACAGTGTCTCACTCAGGAGGATGGAACACCGTTTCACAGATAGCATCTCCAGATGGGACTTGGGGAATCAGCCAAAGCAGAGGGCTCAGGGGTTGACTCTGGCACTGCTGCTGACTAGCTGTTATGGGACAGGACAGGCAGCACTCTCTGCCTCAGTTTCCCCATCGGTAAAGCAGAGATCAAAGGGTCTGATTTGTCTAAAGGCTGGAGAGTGAACCAGAGGTTCCTGGTGAGAGGTGACTTGAGGTGGTGCCTGTGGTTCCTGTTTCAGAATCCCAGAGATTTCAGAGTCAGACACTGCAGAGTAAGTCACAGCAGGCCCTCCTGCTTTGTATTTCCTTTATGAGCTGCAGACAGTCATGAAGAGGCACTTTGCTCAAACCAGGGACAAAGTAGAAAGCACACAGGTCAGCTGAAGTGTGCACAGGTTCCCAAGGACACAGCTGGGGTGATGGAGGCTCTGGAATGTGCTTTAGAGGACTGGTACTGATAACAGGCAGAGAGATCTGAGTCTCTGAGTTTATACAAACTCCCAGTAGATAAGTGCATGTTGTGATGATACTGCAACACTGGGTGATGGGACAAAGCTTTAATCAGAAAATGGAGATCACTTCGTTTCTTCATCTCCATGCCTTTGGGCCCCCATGAGCCTCACACTGGTCATATTCTCATTTAAAACTCAAAGGAAATTCATGGAAACCCTTCTGGGAGAAAAATTGAGCTTGTTGCCATGAGAAAACTAATGCTAAACCAACAAAATTGAAAGTAGTTTACAATGTAGAAATGTGTTAGTGGAATATCATGTTTCTCTCCTGCATGTTTTCTTTTCATCATTCTGCAGCATCTGCACATATTTTTTAAATTTTTCTTTAAATGAGCATTGCAGTTATCTGTCTGCTTAGCATCAGGGCATAGAGAGCTGCACTACAACTCACTGTGCTTTTCCATAGGTCTGGTGCATTCCCAGCATCACCTGACTTTCCCAAAAGGCCTGTGAAGACTGAGATGTGCCTGTGTTTTATTCCTCTGTGTATTTCAATGGAGTAAGAAATCAGCTTGATGCAGTGTTTAGTGCCTGATGAGGTGTGTGAGGCTTTTGAATGAAATGGAAACCAGGCAGAAGAAATTCCCATGGGTTTTGTTTGAAAAAAAACCCTATGAAATGGAGAGTGCATCAGCCTCACTAATTGATTTTGAGAAGGCCTGGCCAGCTCCTTATGCTGCTAGTAAATACAAGTTACCCACATAATATAAACCTCCCCTTCCCCCAGGATCTTGGAGTGTAATGGCTCTCTGCAATGGTGAGGCTGCAGGGCTTCCTTTGTATCAGAAAATGGCTAACTGGTCTCATGGCAGGTTAGCAAAGAGTCGTCAAACAGCCCTGTGATTTGCTGCAGGGTTTGCAGCATCTCTAGTTCAGTGATTCTAGGCCTTGTGATTTTTGCATCTAGGAAAGATTTCCTACTTATTTCTTAATTCTCATGCTTTCAACCATTTAATTCCTAATCATGTGCCTTTAGCCACATGGTTTGGACAAGATCCAAATCAAGGCAGTGACTAGTCCAAACAAACACCTCGAAACAGCCTTTTTTTTCTTGCAGATTCTTCATCCAAACAGCTTTGTGGATAAAGCAGAAGCTGTGCAAAAGGAGAAAATCTCCCCATCCAGAGCAGAGGCTTGAGTTAACAGCCAAGCTGTAGTATTTTGTATTCATCCACAGGGTCTGAATGGATGAATGAATGAATGGGAATGAATGAACTCCACATTTGTAGGGAAGATTAAAAAGAATGGTCCTCAGTCACAAGATAGTAAAAGACAGTACTTTGCATGTAGGATTACACAGCTCTTGCAGCTTCACAGCCCTCTGATGAGACTGATTTCCCTGTGCTCTGCTCAGGGCTGGAAAGACAGTGTACAAGGGTGGCACATGGGCCCCATAAGTTCCCTTGGCTGACAGGGGCCAGCAGCTGCAGGAGACACAGGGAAAACAGAGGGATTTCTTTCATCCCAGATGGAAAAGCTGACCCTTGGCACTGACCTACACTGCAGTCTCGATGGACACTGATCTGTGTCCTTGTTTGGGAGCCTGGTACCCTTCTCCAGATGGGGCAAACCACGGCTCAGAGAAATGGATCCAGCCTGCTCCTCAAACCTTGGCCAGTGTGCATGGAACAGCAGCAGTAGTGAACTTCCTGAGCACCAGTGGATGGGTGAGGACTGCTCACTGAGGGGTGGAGGCATCAGGTGCAGACAGGAGGTTGCTCTGGCTATGAAAGCTGGGCTTCATTCAGCTCCACATTGCTGACACTTGTGCCCTGTGAATTAGCATGTACCGACCAACTTGCTACAGCTGGTGTGAGGCATTACATTTCTGCTCCATTTTAGAAATAATCTTGAAGGGAACTGAAGGATGTTGAAGAAAATTTTCCATCCCCTGAAGCTATTGGCCAATCCATCAAAGATTTTAGCCTTGCTAATACTCTTAATCCCCCTAAAACTGACTCCCTGGTGTTCTGTACTGGCTGAGGCACTGAGAGAACGTTCATTCCCTGTTTTTAATCTGCCTGCTCCCATTATATGTTTTTCTGTTTGGCTAGCAAAAGATCCTGATGCTATGGCTACAGCCCTCCATGAAGGCAGCTGGCAGAGTTTCCCTGCTCTGCAGCCTCGTGTTGGGTGCAGCAGGACTGGACAAGCAGGGAGGGCAAGGGAGTGGGGCTGGCAGGCGCTGGGGGGACCTGGGCAGAGGAGGATGGGGCAGTGGGCAGTGGGCCTGTGGCAGCTGAGATGTGGCAGTATGGCAAAGAGAGGACACTGCTGCTCGCCTCCCCCACCTGTCCAAGGCCATCTGGTATTCCCAGAGAACCTTTCCCCAGCCCACACAGTGGCAAAGCTGCCATCATAGGGGTGCAGCTGGGATGGGTTTCAGGGCTATTGTCAAGGGCAGCACTCAGCTCTGACTCTTCTGGGTGGATGTGTCAGCATGAATCACTGGTGCTGGCAGTCCTAACATGCTGCCCAGCATGGAAGAAGCTGCCTTGCTAGCCCCTGGGGAAATGGGGACATTTATCCTGGGAGCTGGGAACTAACCCAAGGGAACTGGGAATGAACCCTGCAGTCAGCACCTTTCTTACCTTCTCTTTCTAGTGCTGATTGGTGTGGGCGTAGAAACCCTGCAGCGAGGACAGTTTAAAAGCCTGGCTTTCTATCTGCTGTGAGTATTTTTCCCCTTGAAATCAGAGCTGGCAGGGGTGATAAGGTCAACCCCTTCACTATATGTAGCACCAGACTAGACTGCAACAGCAGCAGGAGACAGCGTCCAAGGCTTTGGGTATTTCAGATCTCTATATTGAGTTTTCAGAAAAATAAGCTGTTTCTGTTAGGAAAAGAAATGCTACTGCAGACTCAGGCAGGCCAGAGGAAACACTGGCTTCAAGCTGATTCCCCAGGGGCAGAAGGGCCGTGAGTTTTCCACAAACCAGATGAGCAGAGGGTGTTCAGACCCCAGCATACAGACTGTGTTGAGAACTGTATAGTAAATTCTGGCCCCCTGTGCCCTTTCCACCCACCTGCAGAACATAATCAAACACAGCCCTGCTCCCCTGACAGCTCCACCTTTCAGTTTTTCAGGGGTTGCAGTTACTGTCTGTGAAGGCTTCTTCTTTATCAGTTTGTTCCTGGAGATGTGCTTCACGTGAGTAGACCCTGCCCACTACTCTCCAGCCACGGTGGGACCTCCCAAAGGCACCTTGCCCCTTACAGGCAACACCAGATCTGGGGGAGCTGCAAGTGCCAGACCAAAGGTCCTGCCCCCAATGCCAAGGCAAGTGCACTCGGACAGGGGGGAGGTAAATGGGTCCATGTGCACAGCCATTTAAACCTGTGTTTTAATCCAGGCTTGTGCCCTAATTTCCTGAGCATCAGCACAACAAATCCTGGTCTTCAGCATCTGCTTAACACAGTGTGTAGGCACAAGCTACCAGGGTTGGAGGAAGAGCCAGATCCCCAGGGTGAGCTTCAGCTCCCTCCAGAGAAGTTAAATTTTAAATGTCGAAAATGTTCTTTTCGGAGGCTGAGCACTGCTGCTGTCTTCCAGCAGAAACTCAAAACTCCTCACAGCTTAGAGGCAACACCTTACTCCTAATAGTAGGCACTTGATTAGTCAGGCACTGAGATGCTGGCCTCTGGCAAATGCTCTTCTCTCAACAGGAGATGTTCAGGCTTTGCTTATCTTCCCTGAAAAACACACCCATCTTCTGACAAACCAGAGTGAGGATCTGCACATTTAGATGGGTCATGGTTAGGACCAAATCTTGGCATATGGTTGGTGCCTCATGCCACCAGGACCTCTCTTTCTCTCCCCAGTCACAAGCCTGAATTCCTGGCACAGGCCTTCTGGAAGCGAGCTAGATGCCCAGGGAGCTTCCAGAAATTCCTGGGGTACACGCTGCTCTCAGTGGCTTGCTTCCTGCATCCCGTCCTGGTCTGGCATGTCACCATCCCTGGTAAGAAGCTTGGGTGGGGAGTAGTGCAGATGGAAGAGGAGCATGGTCTGTCAAGGGGTGGGGGTGGGGATGTGCAGGGAGCTGGGCTGGTGGCCGATGGCACTGGGCTAGCCAGACCAAGCGCTGCTTGGCAAGGCCTTCCCACTAGCCAGAGCCCTCAGCCAACATAGTCTTGTTCCCAGGGTCCATGCTGGTGCTCACTGCCTTGGCCTACTTTCTGCTGAGCAAGAGGAGGAAGAGCCCAGGCCACAAAGACACGCATCCCCAGGCAGGTCAGTACGTGGACCCTTCGGCCACTGAGGCAGCCCCAACCATCATTGGTGACACTGAGCAGACCTACACCTTCCACGGGGCCCCGAGGGAGCAGCACCGCTCACTCCTGGGCCATATGAAGAGCATCCTGAAGGGCAGCAAGGACAGCAGCTCAGCCCCAGAAACTCCTGTCCAGCCAGCAGCCGTGCCAGGCCCTCGCAAGCAAGTGCACTTTCAGGAGAAAGTGGTGCAGATCATCCCCTCTGTCAGCGAGGACTTGGAGGATGTGGAGAGTGAGGCTGAGGAGACCACATCGGACACAACACCCATCCTCACCCCACCTGATGCCCCCATCATCATCGCCCCTCTTAGCTCTGCCGGCCTCTTCTGAGTTCTCAGCAGGAATGAGGACAGGACAGACCTGCTCCCCTGGAACAGACGCTCCAGCAGCCAACAGGCCCAAAGAGGTGGCCCTTTTTGCCTTCCGTACTTTTGGGGTGACAGCTGTGCCACCCCTTCTTCAAGGGGCTGCCTGCACTCCCCCACACTGGCAGGCCAGGGGACAGGCAGGGTTCAGCCAGGGTAGTGCCAGCACAGTGAGGTTTCTGCTCCCACCGCCTCACCCGTGTCACCCCCTGTGCACTGCACACCACTGCCGTGCTCCTCCTGACATCACAGCCACGGTGTGTGCCTCCCTTCTGGCAGACACGGGCAGCAGGAGAGACCTCCGTGCCCAGGAGCAGCCTCTGCTGGGGCACTTGTGTCCCTCTGGCCCTCAGTGCACATGGCAGAGCTCAGGGCTAGGCTGAATTCAGTGCTGCAGCCTGCGGGCTCCCTCTCAGCACCTACACCCGCTGCAGCAGCTTGAGAGTTGCAAAACATATTTTGGAGGTGGGCTGAGACCCAGCACACCCCTGGCATTAGCACCTGCTTAGTACCTCCCCAGGCACTCTGAGCCCAGCAGGGAAATCATCTCTGGCATTTGGGACACCTAAGCAGGAGCAGAGACCTTCCAGGTGTCCCCTGCTTGGACAGCCCCCTTAAATTAGAAGATAATATGGCAGCCCAGGTCCTGAGGTTCAGCACCACACTGGCACAGCAGACTGTGTGTAACTCCAATGTGTGTAATTATGGCCCCCAGAGGGCAAAGGCAATAATAAAATTACCATATTGTCCCACCAGTTCCTTCCATGCCAGGTCTTCCCTGAACCCCTTAACTCCCTGAACCCCTTAACTCTGGCTTAATCCTGGCATAATTTCTGCCTTTTGAGGACCATTCAGTTGTAATCAAGCATTTCCCTCCTATTCAGCTCCCACCTGAGGACATGTGGGAAGAGCTCAGGTAGCTGGGTTCCCTTGGACATGGGGACAAGAAGCCACACTGTCACTGCTGTTGGGATGAAAATCTATAAATGCTCTGAGCCCAGACACATAGCACTGGGGGGAAGTGATGGTAATTAGAGATAGTTCCTGGGACCTGTTAGACTATTTATAAGGTAGAAGCCAGTTAGCTGGCTGTTTTTCATGTAAATACATTATTTCTTCTATTTAAGATCTCAGCTCTCCAAGAGGCAATCACCATGTTCATTTAGGAAAGCAGTGTAGGTCAAAGTGTAATCAGAAGGCAATTGAGATAAGCAACCAGTGCTACTTTTTAATAAACTCTTTTTAAGTGACTTCTAATTTGTGATATGGATGAGGAAGAAGATGAAAGATATTGACTCACAATATTTGACTGCCTGTGTTTAATAATGAAGCTGTTGACAAGAGCAGTTTTAGAAGGGTTACACACACTTGTCAGTCCTACAATCAGACACAGACAAAAAACTTTTTGTTGCATCACCAACATTTAAAATAGTAGCTGGTATCAATCTGTTCTAAACATGATACATGGATTAGAGACCTCCTGTTTCTGGCAGCAGAAATTAACCTCCCACCCCATCATGGTGTGCTGGGGGAGAGTCACGTACACACGTGCCTTTAGGGTGGATTTGCACCTGTAAAAATATCTTCAGAAAATTGTGCCCGGTTAACACTGCACAACTGATAGCAGCAAGCCCAAGATCCAACCACAGCTCCACCCTCCACCTGGTGTATTCCTCACATTAGGAGATAAAAAATAAAGCTATTTTCCTCTGAAGGTGACAGACATACCTGCGCCAACCAAGGTCCCAACCCACCCATGCTAGCAGGATACCCACGCTGGCCTACTTTGCCCAAAAAGGCAGAGCTGGCTCCCCAGCTTCACCACAAATCTGCTCTGCAATTAAATCCACTTTGATCAGCAAAGTCAGCTTTCTGCATCATCCAAGGCACTTCTTTGAACATTGCTTAATTAATTGCACACAGGGAGATCAACTTAATTGAAAAGGCACTGCTTCCAATATATGGGGCAATCTGCTGACTAGAGAAAGACTGTATTGCTGTAGACTCTTTTCTCCTTAGCAAAGCTCCTGGGCAGCCTGGGTGGGAACAGATGCTCTGCCACAGATTTCATCCTTCATCCCTTACTCAATCTGCCAGCCCCATGATTTGTGCCTGTGGGGCAGCACAAGGGGTGAAGCAATGTGCTGGCAGCTCCTTTGGCACTTGGAAATTTGTAGGGAGCAAATTTCATTTTTTTCTGTGAAGTGCTTAAAATGCGTTTGCAGTTTTTAGAGTCTGCACAATTAGGTTTCCATTTTTAGGCTCATTTTTAAAAGCCTGTTGTAGGTCTCCCTTCAGAACCAAGAATGGAGGAAGCTACAGGTGAGATGTTTTTTCAGGCTTCATGGAGCCAGCATTGGACCTGGTTGCTTTACTTGCATGCTCCCTTGTGTTGGCCTGGCTCTTCTCCAGCCCCACAGCTAGTTGGCTCAGGAGATAAGAGGCTGGGGGAAAAAAACCTTCTTGTCTTTTCTGTGGTATTAAATTGCCTGTTCAGTTAAGGTCCATGGCTGACTCACCCTGGAGTCTGCCAAGAGTTTGCATCCTTGCTAGGGAAGTGGCTGCTCCCCCAGAGGCAGACAAGCTGCACCTCAAACAGCACCTGAGCTGCTTCCCAGGTTCTCCCTGCCAAGGAGTCCATGTGTACATTCCCTCTCTGCTCCTCACCACCCATCGCGCTCTTAGTGCCACCTTCCAGTTCCATCGGTGTACAGACCTGTTAGCCCAGAGGAACAATAATTAGGAAAAATCCTCACCACCCATTCCACCCCTGGTGCCACCTTTCAGCTCCATCAGTGTACAGACCTGTTAGCCCAGAGGAACAATAATTAAGGAAAAGAAAGCAGGTGGCTATCTTCTTGGGTAATGAGCCAAATAAGTTCAGGGAGGGCCAGCCACAAATTAAGGGGATGGGGGATAAAAGAATCTCTTTCAGAGTCAGCAGGCTGTTAGAGCAGCTCAACTGCTTAAAGAAACAAAGCCTCAGGCTTTCTTTAAAACCCAGTGCAGAGGAAATGTTCAGCCTCGGGGGGTGTCAGATGACTTTGCAGAGGCCTCAGAGATTATTCACTCAAGTGTGTACTTCTCTGTTGGCCCCACTCCCTACATCTAGCTGTGAGAGCCTCCCAGGGGCTACTGAAAGCACCAGAGATGATGTAGAGGGCTGTGGGGGGTCTGTATGAGAAAAGCTCTCATATATGCATGGTAATTGCAGGGAAAGAAAAAGAGGGAGAACTTGATGCTATTAACTTTGCAGTGCACTGTATCTGAATATGAGCTGCCTGAACTGTAAGTCCACACACCAGTACATGAACTCTGCTATGTAATTTTTGTCTGCATTGCAAAAATTCATTACTCGGCTGGTCCATTGAGATTAATCCACTGAGTTACAGTGCATAAAGCTATAAACTCCTATGGATCCACATACTGAAAGGAAATGAGATGAATCATCCAAAAGAAATACATGTGTAAGGTAAAACTCTGTGAGGTAATCCTGGCAGAAATTGTTTCATTCAAAATTTCCAACAAAATTCCCCTGCATCAGGAAAAATTTGCCTGCTTTACATGTGAAGTGGAAAGACTCTACAATGCTACTTGACAGCTCCCATCAAAACTTAGTGAACTGGTATGTTGCAAGCAGTTATTCCATTTAAAGTTTTATATGCAGGAAAACCAGATTTCAGTGCAAGCTTCACTTACAATTCCTCTCTTCTTCCAATGCACAAGCAGTTGTTGCAGAGCCCTGGAGACAGGCACGCTCCCTGCCTCAGCACAGTGCTCCCACCTCACACCAGGGGCTCCAATGGTCACCCTCCTAATTCCCTAAATCCCCACTGGGACTCTTGTCCCCCATTTCTCTGAGCACTGCTCCATATTTGAAACATGGAAATTAATGTTTTACCCAAACAAGAGCAGCATTAGGAAAATAAAGCACGCTTGGAGAGAAAAGTGTTCAATTTCTGCGGTGTCAGTAATTAAAATCAAAAATGCCCTGCTTGAGCCTATGACTGCAACACTCACATCAGCAAACACCAGTGGCATTGGTGGCTTCTAATCCAGTATTGAGTCATATCCACATGCAGGAGAGGACCTGTCTCTACTTGATTCCAAATGCTGCCTACTAACACACCTGCAACCCTACCACTCTTCAGCCCTGCACCTTCTCCTATCCCAGCCAGGAGATTCTCCCATGTGCTGGGACAGAAATGCAGTTTCTGTTTTGGCTGGTCTCCTACAGTTTGTACTGTGAGGGAAGTTGCAGAAATCAAAACTAGATCCCAAATTTGCCTGGGATTGCTTGGAGCTGTCAGCTCCCTTGTCTGCTTGGCATGATGCAAAAGCAGGAATACGATTTCCAGTCACCGTGTGTCAGCTGATGTACCACTAGTGAAATGACTGCATAGGTTATATCCTAATGAATGTTTGAGGTACCTCTTGGATTTTAATTCAAGGCAATTATTCACTCAGCATGTGACTTTAATGAATCTTGTTTTGAGGCTTTAGGCAAACACCAGGAACCAGTGAAGGTCTTTGAATCACAGACTAAAGAGGGAATCCATATGTCAGACAGAAAAAAAAAAAAAAAAAAAAAAAAAAAAAAAAAAAAAAAAAGGAAGATTAATATTTATTGGGAGCTCCTCCTCATCACATCCTGGACTTCCTACAGCTCAGGAGGAAGGTGAACAGCATCTTAACACTAATCCTTATCCCACTCTCATCTCTTTTTCTTTCTGCCCAGACACTTCTTTACCCCAAACTTTTCCTGTCCAGAGCACTATTTAAAAGGAAATGCTGTCTTGATCAAGTCATGCTAAACAAAGTTATATTCACTGTGACATGATTGCACAGTTCCTTCCTGCCCCTCCCTCTCCAAGACGCCTCTGTAAGAGTAGCTGTGTTTGGTACTCCCCAGATGTCCAGCCTTGCTCGTCAGCCCCAGCCCTCTGCTGGCACCCAGCTCCCCCA